CGCGGGTGGTCACGTGGCCGCGGGACGCTCGAGTCCCCGCCGCCGAGGCTCCGCTGTCGCCAGGCCAGCCATTTTGGTACGTTAACATGGCGTCGCCGCCGGAGATTAATATGGCGTCCTCGGACATAATAACCGAAGTGGAGATTCAACCGGACATTCAGGAGGTCGAGATAGAGACGATACCGGTGGAGATACCGTGCGAGACCGTGGAGACGACGATCGAGGGCGAGGACGGGCAGCCGATGATAGCGCTGCAGCCGCTGCCGGAGCCGGGCCGCGAGGAAATCATACTGCAGACGCAGGAGGAGATCGTCGGCGCGGACCCGCTCAGCGTGTACGACCAGATCCCGGTGCCGGACAACGACATTTATGTCGAGTCCAGCCCCGGGCCGTCGCGCAAAGCCGCAAAGAAGGCGCGCAAGAGCGGCGGCACGCGCTTCCGCGCGTCCGACCACGCGATCTTCGGCGAGATGGCCACCGAGACCAAGGCCAGGAAGTGGGAGCAGAAGCAGGTGCAGATCAAGACGCTCGAGGGCGAGTTCTCGGTAACGATGTGGGCGTCCGGCACGGACGACGGTGAGTGTTGCGGTCCGCGTTTACGCATCGGGATCTTTCCAGATCTCCCGCGGGCTTCGGTTCTCTCTCTCTTTCAGCATCATTTCTTTTTCCTCTCCCCCCCCTTTGTTTTTCTTTTCTCATTTTATCTCTTATCGTCGCTCTCTCGCCCTTCGCCGAGCCCTCGTCCAAAGGACGGGTCCTTTCTTTCTCTCCCTCGTCTCCTCTCTCTTTCTCTCTCTCTATTCTGTGCGATACCCAGTTCTCAATTTCTTCGAAAAGTAGGGAAAAAGTAGTGGGGAGGAAAAAGGAAAATGGGAGAGGCCGCCGGGGACCCTTTCATCAGGTATCATTGGTCGCTGCTATTCGTCCTATTTTCGCGCTTTAAAGCCGCGTTTTGCCGCAAAACCCAATATCGTACATTACACAACGTTTTCTATCTATCTAGTCCCTTCACACGTCATTTACCGCGCAATCTATACCGTAGCTGGTCTTGAAATTAGCATAAATCCCACCGGGGATTCTATATCGGTTCGAAATATTCCCATCGCGAAATGCGAGGAGAGAAACTACCAGGGGTGGGGGGAGGGGGAGAGGAACATTGTGTCGAACTTGCGAGAACTCGCAAATCGGCGAGGGAATGCATTTAAGGCCGCATTATTATTACCGAGGAAATTAAATCCACTTTCTCGGTACATTAAATAAATTCCATTAGAAATAAAATGCTATTTCCGGTTTAGCATCTCAAATGAGCGCCGTTATAGAGCTGCACTTATATTTGCACGAATGACTTTCTCTTTTCGTTAAGTACATTTATGCTGCACGTGCTCGGTCTTCGGCGTAAATGTCCCCGGCGTAAAAATCGTCATTAAAAAAAGCGATAAGAAGATTTTATTTCTGCACTCGATCAAGCATAATTGTCCGGTAGCGGTATTTTACGTGTCACTGCGATGTATTAATCATCCAATGAATACGTTAAATCCAGTAGACTGACGTCTTAATGCGAGTTATCACAATAATATGTCGCCGTAAGATTCAAATCGTAATAAATCATCTACGTATCTATTTGTGTTACACAAAAAAGTCTAAGAAAATACAAAAAAAAGAAACATGTATTTTCGATATGACTTTCTGCAATAATACAATCGTCCTTCTCTAAAAAAGAAAATAACACGCGGTTATTTTCTTTTTTAAATATAATTATATTACACTTTAGAAAAAATTCGAGAATAATAACAGATTTCTTTCCTAAAAACACTTTCAGAAAAACTTTTAAGAGGTATGCCTTTTCATCGCAGACTTTCCCCAGGATTAAGCATTCTGTTTTCCTTTTCCGTAAACAGGGAAATTGATAGACTGACGTGGCGGACAGGGACCATCATTTCCGAGTATCATGACGCAATCCATTCTCTGTCGCATAGCGATGCCCCATTTATCGAGATGCTGTGCAACGGAGCACGTGTCATATCGCGAAACACGCGCGTCACGCTTTTGAGCTTTAAAACACGCAACAGCTGGCGGACGCATATGACATTTCCCGTTTTCGCTTCTTGTTTGCGCCGTCCAGGCGCAATACCGGCATCACGGAGGATCTTTCTCGTGAGGGGGGGGATCCTCATCGAACTTTTTTGCTGGACGGCCGCGCGGAGAGACGCGAGCTGTCCCTCACGGAGAATGAAGTTCGAATTAAGAACGCTCCGTCTGAGCCACGCGGATTAAGCCCTGGAGAAAAAGTTAAATCCACTGATGGAATAATTTTATTACTTCTTTTATTTTTTCCTCGCGGACCGTCGTATTGCTAAGCAAAGGGAGACAGATTTATTTCCTGTCCCCTTCCGTGACTCTACCTTACTTGATAGTACTTCTGAATCACTTTGAAGTGTGATTCGATTGCTACTTTTCCATTTTGCAAATTACGAAAAGTATTACATTGGTATTAAATATACCAAAGACATGAGATTAGAGAAATATAATTATAGTAATAAAGAAAATAAAAGAGAAAAGGACCAATTTCATAAACCGCGGTTTTGAGATCTTTTTTCGCAGATATACTTGCTACATGAAACTCTGCAATGATCCGTAATTCGTTGCGGAAAAATTGAAGTCAAATTAGAGACAACGCGCAATAATATTTGGCTATATCGATTTAAAGCTACAGTAATTGGAAAATAAAAGTATAAAAATTGTGCAAATTTATTTTTTGAAGCGTTTACATAACGGAAATATTTCCGATTTGTGAAAATTCGCGATAACAAGTATGGCGTGAAAAATGTTGTGCCGGAGGCAGATTCGAGATATAGTTCGTCATATATCGATCTACGACCTTCGCGTTTCTGCAGTCGATGATTTATGAATTTCCCCGGGTATTCAACGAACGGGACGGGGCGACTGATACGAAGATTGGGCTCGCCTTTTTCGGGGCGGGCACTTTTAGGCCGCGCGGAAATTATGCCATCCCGTAAATTTCCGCCGGTAGTCGACGCGTCGGCGAGACCCATTGAATGGACCAGCGGATACTGGAGAATTTGCGTAACTGGAAAATCACTCGGCCGCGCGCAGATATCCCGATGCGGGTAATTTTTCGTCCGCGAAAAACGATTGGCTATTCAACGCGAGAGAAAGAGTTGGAATTCAAAGAGATCGAATTCAAAACTATACGAATTCAGCAATCTCCTCGGCAGATACGGGAAAAAAATAATAAATTTAATCCTTCGCCATTAATTATTTCTATAAATGGTATACATAATACTTCTTCGCAAATCTCTCGCTGAACGCAAGTAATCCCTCCCTCATTCCGCGCTCCGTTCCCTGGAGCGCAATCCATGGTTTCTAAGTATCCTCCAAGCCTCGATCGTGGATTATGCTTCGAGCGCAGAATTGCGATTCGTCAATCGATCGGTTCTGCTCGTGTCACTGTCTTCTGTGCTTAAACCGTTCCTCTTTCCGCCGTATATTGCCAACGCTGCAACCAACGGCTCGTGGCTATTGTGTTTGGGGAAGAAGGCCGCCGATTCTTCCGTCTCCTATACAGATATACGTCTAGCTGAACGAGAAGATTTTCGAGCGCCGCTTTCGACTAGCCGTGTTCCTCGAGAGAGGTCCTAGTGGCAATTATTTCGAGGTAGAATATATCTTGTACACGGTCGAGTATCCGATCAATGAACAGAGGTCGAGATAAAGTCAATGCCGCGTCAGACGAAAGATTGTTGATTCACGCCCGAATAAATCCAGTTAATAGAATTACTGAGACGAGGCGTATAGAGCTGTGCGTCTCGTTAAAGAAGAAAAAAATCTCGATATTCGTATTGAAAGGCAATTTATCATAATAATATTTACTCTATAAATATATACCAAACTACTGATCCATAAAGGGAAAGTCTGCGAAAGCTATAACGAGTGTGTGATGAATTTTGCAATTGCTCGCCTCTCCATTAAATTACCATTAATTACGATTGTCGTCGAGACTTAAGAGGCGGAGTGAAACAGATCATCACGCGGATTCCACATGAATCAATGAAATCAATAATAATTCCATTGAAATGACGCAGGTTGCTATGCGAACGGCGGAATGCGCGTAGATAAATGGAATCGATAATGAGGCTAATTATTCCGCGCTCATTTCGGTACGAAAGTACTATCTATAATCGCTGATATCGGCACGTACATTCCTATCGACACGGTAATACGCGCGACTCGACGGGTTCCGGGAGCCAACTGCAGGCTTTGATATAACTTTCGATAATAATTCGTGAGAAATCCAATTACCGCAGTCGTGCCGGCACGCTCTCTTCATCGCTTTTGGTCGCAGCAATTGCCGCGAGTCGATTTTTGAAAAAGGTTTCCGAACTTCGCCGTGAAAAAAAAAGAAGAAACGAGAAAAAAAACCGTTCCGCTAGTTTCATCCGCCTCTCATTGTGTTTCAGTATACTTTTAATTGCCCACTAATTGCTCTCCGCTGCCCGTCGTATTACGGCGAGTATATAAAAGTGTTATTGCATCAAAGCGTTCTATTTTAACGGCGCAAATATCAACGGCAATGTAATCAAATCGGATGAAAACAGATATTTTCCCTCTAAATTGCGAGCTCATTTTTTTTTTCACGCAGCTATACACTTTTTTCCCTATTGACGTAACAAATACAATGCGCTTTTTACAAGCCTTATAAAGCCCGCGAAAACTTATGTAGCGCGTAGACGTGACGCAGTTTCGTGCAAATGATAATCAAAAATTGCTGATCGCCTCGCAGTCCGAGCGGGATCGCCTTTATCGTAGGATCTCAAGTTACGCCGTACGTCGAGGCGGCCTGAGAAGTTCGGCTCGTGCAAAACGGAGAATAGGTATACGTCGAACGTGTCGAGGCGGCGCGCGATGAAGTAAGAAGGGAAGGTGGTGGTGTGGCGGTAGTGGTGGTGGTGGTGGTGGTGGTTGTTGGAGAGAAAGAGAGAGAAAGACGCGACGGGCTTGCTGGTGCGTGGGTGCACGCGTGTAATGGTGGAGCAAGTTGCACGCGCACGATGCAGCTGATGACCTTGAACTCACTGCTGATGTTCGACCTCGTGTTCCTGTTTTTCCTGTTCCTCGTCGGGGTCTCCTGCCTCGTTTACTACCTGCCGGGTACTCGGGCGCATGCTTTCGCACCGCACGAGATCATCACGGCGCGTACGTCGCCGCGCTATGACGCACCGATCGACAATGTGTAAGGTGGGTATAGGAATGCATATACGAATTGCGTAGGCAGACTGGGACGAGATTGTATGTACGTGCCCGTCAGACGCGATAGTCGCGCCTATATACATATATATAGGCGCACCGATTTCGCATCGCGCGATTCATGAATAGCCGATGAACCATTCGGTTTTGGGAAGATCGATCCTCCACACGCGCGCACACACACTGTATATCCAGCTGTATTACTCGGTTATATAGGCATCATATTCTCGACTGCCTCTCGATTAAATTGTTCCATTGACGTTCTCGATTTGAAAACGCCGAAGTTGCATGCACAACGCTGATTCGATTACGAGCGCGGATTGGAACTTCCTGCGTTATTGTACCATCGTGCAGTTTGAACGGGCGCCCTGATTAAATCGCGTGAAATCGGGGAATGGTGCCCGCCCGGTCGGACGCTAACTGATTGTCCGCTAATTAAACGCCCTATACCCCCGGAGCCCGTGATCGCTCGTAACGGATGTGTTATAACGTTATTACACGCGCATTTGTCGTGTCTCTTGCAAATGTTTCCGCGCTGACATCGGAAAAATGCGATTTCGGCGATTTAGAAACCGCCGCGTAACGACAGTAACGAAAATTAATAACGCCAACCGAATGAAATGTAACGGCAAATGAATTATCCGATGCATGTCTGATTATACCTGAGAGCAGTTATCGGATGATCGGGTCTGTCAAAAGCACTCAAGGCTAAACCTCTTTCAACTTGTGCGACCGAATTCGGATATTGCATAATTCAATGCTGTTCTGCTTCGGGCGTTGCATAAAAGGTGACCGAGTTGCATGAATGGTTGCACGTTTGCCCATTGTACGCCGGGAATAACCTAATACGTGGAGAGATCGGATGTGATGTAAAATAAATTGTACGCTTAGTTGAAATGACATATAACGTCTTAGCTAAAATAGCACGCATCTTACATAAAAGAAATATAACGCTAATAATAAAGTATCGCACGAAAATAAAAAGCTCAACAGCTGTTACGACATTAACATTCAAAATCCTAAACTTGATCAGGAAAAATCAGTTTGAAGCTACATTGTAACAGAATTGACAAATATAGCGTTGGTAAAACAGCAAACAGAAAAAAAACAGAAAGATGTAACTAGTAAAATATTTTGTCTATACTTTAAAGTTAATATTGATCTTTCCCTTTAATAATCGACTTTGCGCGTTGAGTCAACGACGGGGACTCCGGGCACCGTTATCCGAATTAGCTCGTTAATTGCTGTCGACGTTTTCCTATAGCGTCGGCTGACTCCGCGGAAAACCGGCGCCCGGCTTCGCGAAATGGAATATTTGTCGCGGAAAATTAATATTTCCGCGAAGTTTCTTTGCGCTCGCCGCCGCCGGGAGAAATCAAGCTTGATACATGACGCTATAAAGGATCACAAACAGCGATATTAATGAAGAACCAAAGTTTCAAAACTTGATGACACTAACTTTTCGGCAAGTGTTGACACGGATAAGGAATGAAGAAGAGCACAAGTTTTGGATGGTTTTAAATTGAAAAAAAAGGACAACATATGTATCGACTTCTTTTCATTTTGTTTCTTTATATTAATATATACTTTTAATGATTTTAATGACTGAGAGAAAAGTATTTGGTACAATTGCCTGATAAAATAATTATGGTTAAGAATTCCATTTTTGTAGTTATTATTCCTATAATTTTAATAATAATTATTATATTTATAGTTTTACCAAACAAATATATAATTGACGCCAAAAATGGTATATATTACAGTTAAATTATGGTAATTGCAACCATTTTTTTCTCTCAGTGAATGTAATTATTTCAAAACTCTATATATCCTTAATAAAAGATGGCAATATTGTTTAGAATAATTCATTGTATCCCAAAAAATAATTAACTCTATAGTCTATGTTTTGAATTTTTATCAAAAAAAGAATATCTGTTTTTTTCTTTCTCTAAATTAAATACTTTTAATCCTGAATTTAATTATCCTTAATAAAAGATGACAAGATCTCATTGTTTAGAATAATCCGAAATCATATAAATTCATTATATCCTAGAATTAAAAATAATTAACTGTAACAAATTAAAAAAACGATAGATGTCATTATCGCGACGATAATGAAGTATCAATTTAAAAGTCCCCAGTAATTGTAAAGGCGAAAATATGATTGATGTTGCAACGAGAAATGCGCGAGGCAATATCCGCAATAAATCCTATATCACAGTGCAATCTAACACTTCGAACTGCATGGATGTATGTACCTGCAAATCCATCATCGCGCGAGTCACTATATATTTTACGACGGTTCATTGATTAAAAACGATCGAAAGATAATGCACGATGGAGGATTGGCGTGTATGAGCCAATGTCAACACGCGAGATAGATCTCAATCGCGAAGTGGACCGTCTGGAGCGGAGGACTAATCAAGACATTTTGTTGACGTTGTAAGTGTAAATAATTCGCGATCGTAATTGTGCGACCAGACTACATCACCCTAATTACTGTCTAGTTACTACGGACAAGTTACACCTCGGAGATTACGTTTGAATTATAACTTCACTCACGAGACAAAAGTTCGTTAAACGCGTTAGTTAAACAGCGTGCGTGTTTGGTGTTGCGCGTACGTCGTATGGGAAATTTCTACTGGCGATAACTTCGTAATACACGTCAGTATTGCGGCACGAACGATCACGTCCGATCGAATGAAGTCGAACACGCTGTAAATTGACAGCCGTCGTGCAACGGAGCTAATCACAATTAAAGTCGATCGAATGAATTGAGAACAGTCAAAGAATTTCACGTGATCCTACCTGATAAAACTTGGGAATCGCGAAAGACGATATTACTTCGGAGACAGACTTTCTTCATGCCACGCGAAAGCAAAGCATTACGTTGATAGTCAATACGTTTTTTATTTTTTTAACAGTTCGCAGCTTCGATTACTTTCGTCATTAGCCGATTCGTAAAATCGAGACTTCGTCGAAGATCAGAGACTACATCGAAATTGTTGCAGCCAATTCGCGTCATTTGATTACTGAAGAAAAGTTTCTCGGGCGAAAATTTTGCGGCCGCGATTGTCGCATAATAGAGAGGACAATCGCAGCTGACTAAGTTAGAAGTGCGAGAAAGTGCAAAAGACCGAAACACGCCCGCGGTACCGAAATATATATCAGCTCCGAACTATCTGAAATCTAGTTTCGCGGGGAAACCCGATAATCTGAAACTTTCATGCATGCGCGCTCACCGCTCGTCGAACTTCTCTATTTAATACGCGTTTATTTTATTGGAGAAAGTAAACGGTGTAATCAAAGATAATTACTATTCCCGAGAAAGTTGGTCGTAAATTAAATATGTACATAAATGTTATTTTATCGATATGATGATATGATTCTAATCGTAACGACATAATTATATATGTAAATCCATAAAGGAGGATAATAAGCATAATATCTTAAAATTATCACTAAAATTTTGAAGTCCTCTGTGGTTTTCATGAGACTGTAATATAATATATGTCTGAATGTACTTGCTTTTCATGTTAAACAGGTCGATGTAATAATTAGGTGACGGATTAAATTTTGATACAATCCAAACACGACCTACCGCATCGCGCGAACATGCACGAGACAGGTCCCCCTTTTCCCGTAATGTGGTCGAGCAGAAATCAGTGGGGAACAGAGAAGGGCAGATAACGATAGCTCGCAGTACTCTGCTTGAAAGAGCAGTCGCGGACAAGAACGTTGTTGAAAACGGGACTGACGTCTATTGTTTTCTCTGACGACGGTATATCTGTTGATTGTTCCTCGAGATGTGCATATGACGTCGAGATTCGCGTGGTTGCTAGATTTGTATGCGGACACACACAGAGACAAAGAAGAACGCGCGTCGTCGCGCGTTTGATTAAAAATAAATCCGTGGGAAAACTCGAGGATTTTCACATGCGATCGATAAATCTCGAATATCTGCGAATATCTCGATGCTCTCATCTTGCATTCCAAGGATAAAGAAGATTTCGCGAGAAAATAGAAAATAGAAAAATTTTAACCGAGAAAACAAAATTTACGAAATATTACACAATTCCTTTCTCTATTTACAATATTACAATCTTGTGCCATTTGCGACGCGATGAAAGTTGTGTGAGATTTTTGCAACAATTTTTCTTTCAAGATCACTTTTGAAATATACAAATTTATAGAAAAAATAATATATTATACAAAATAAAATCATGTAAAAAGAGTATATTTATTCTAATTTATTATCTAATTTAATAAATTAAATTCTCTTCAAAATTATACTTGTGCGACAGTTAAGAACCGATAACAGAAAGATATTGTTATGTCTGCATGTTTATTTTGATACATATAAACGAGATTCCATCACATAATAAATTTTCATGGGAAAGTGAATTAGTTCTGTGTATCTGTTTATGCACGTGACGCTACTGAGGAAAGAACCTGAGTAATCTTTGGAAAATAATTCTTCATTCGCTAGTACGTCAAGTCACGTTACGATACACCGAACAGAAGGACTAATATAAACGGGACTGAGCAAGCAACAAGCCCGATACCAATATGCACGCCGTGGCTTGTTTGCATTTGTTTATTCGCGATACGAGCCACGGAACACGTTGCCATCGTGTCGTTTCCCGGATTCTGTACATGTTTATCCTACAAGGCAAAACAAAGTATCGTCGTGCTAGTATTCGAAATCTCTATCTCGCAATCCGCTTGATATCGTCATTTCGCGTTTTCACATAATTCATCGTCACCTATTTATTTAAAACTATTCATTAAAAAAAATCCCACGTAAAAATGTAAGTTACTTAAAATTTTTATCTAATAATTATAAAATTTACTATGTAAAAATATCGTTGCTCGCAGAATGCCGACGGATGTGACCGGGGGCCCAGGACTCGCAGTAGTGGCAGGGGATGTCCTTACCCTGCGAGGCACAGGACTCGCTGCTGCAGAAACGTGGGCTCTGCTCTGCCAGGCAGCCCAGGCCCTCCAGGATCTTTTTCTCTCAAGTAAGTCAAAATAGTTACGTATTTTATTATACGTAAAATCCCCGTATTCTATTTATATACATTATTCACGATAAAATATATCTACATAGGTAATCCCGACATAATTTTTGGAGAAAAAAGAAAAAAATAATAAAGGAGATACCCTCTGCTAAAACTGCACTGGTGCACCATTAATATAATAATTAATATAAAATATTTAATATAAAAAATATATTTAACATTCTAATTTTTGCATCTTTAAAGAAAAAAATATTTTTTGACGTGTTAATATAAACAATAAATAATAATAATTATATAGGTTTTAATTTAATTATTATTAAATAACGGATAATATATGATTTGAAAAAAAAATGTAAACTAAATTAACAAAAAAAAATTCCGGTACCGGGAATCGAACCCGAGCCTCCTGGGTGAAAGCCAGGTATCCTAGCCACTAGACCATACCGGATTACATGAGAATCTTGTATAAACATAATACTACAGTCGAGAAGTAGACAGTCGTATTAGTTGTGTAATAAAAAACACTAATAAATATTCTTTGCATAAATTGCATTTTAACAATATCGAGAAAAATTGTTCTCCCGATTGCAAAAATCTGATAAAAAATTGATTTATCTGTAATATATATATATATAGTTCTCCTTACTTCTCGTATTTATCTCTTTCTCTTAAAAAAAAACCGCATAATTTTTATTCCGGTAATATTTAATGTTAAAAATACACATAAAATATGACTGTCGTCATCGCCCTTGCTACTCGTTCCGTTTTCATATTCCCTATTCGGGACTTACGCGGTCTTTTCTGCTTTCGGAAGCATAAAGTAGCCGAAGATGATCCGTCCACAAATCCCGGAGGCTTTTCAGAAAATATTGGTCGAGTTTGTCATGAGCTTTCACTACATGTGACACGGCTTAGCATGCTTCGGGTACGAACTACGAAACGCTGCATGAAACCGAAACTTTATCGTGATCTGAATGCCATCTCACAACACAAAAGAAGCGCCAACGAAATTTCTGGATATAATAAAAAAATTATGCAAGATCAAGTAAAATTAATTTTTTAACGATGTCATACTAACTGACAGTTTACTCTCCTAAAAAAAATTTTTTAATCTTGCGATCAATAAAATCTTATTGCAGTAATACTTTAACATAACAATATTACTTATATTAAAATTCTATTCTCTTTTTTAAAATGATGAGCCTAATAGTTATGTAGTATTTTTGATTGTAATGATTCAATTAAATAGCAGTAAATCCTATTTTCTTTTTTGATTTGAATTGATGAGAGTATATATGTAGTAATGTAGAATTTTCCGCATTGAAAAACATTGGTAATTTATAAAAAAATTATTATAATAAAAAATTTACTAATTATCAATACTTCTTAATGCGGAAAATTCTACATTACTATTACACTCTCATTAATTTAAAAGAGAATAAGGTTATATACTGCCATTAATTGAATCATTACAATTTCCAAAATTGTTAAACAGCACAATCCAAGCAGAAGGTCATGTCACGATATTGTCAAAATGACCTTAAAATGACTCATAACTGATCGAAAAATGATTTTAATTAATCATTTTGACGTCAGTTTGATGTCATGATGACTTGTTATTCTGTTTGGGAAAAATATCAATTTTGAACCATTCATTATCAACGTGATTGATAAGAGCTAATATCGCTTGCAGTATCATCCCCGTAAAAAATATTGCCATCAAAAATATTGTCATTTGCATTTTTCATCCCCGCGATAGCGATAAAATATTTCACACACGGTGAAAATCCATGTGTATATCTCTCGTGAAAGCTAAGAAATGTTGCGTGCAAAAACATTTCCGCTAAATATATCAATGCCTTGTTGAACACTTCCGTCACCGACAATATTACAAATAATACACGCTCGATCACGTCAGTCCTCTCCGCTCGTTCGCGTTTAAGACGCCCCAAAAGGGTCGAAGCGAGAGACAGTGTCATGGTCTGACGAGGCAGGTTTCTCTCACAATATCTTCTTTTATATCCGATTTATTTCACGCATGGACGGCCGTCGGAAAAAATGCCTTCCGTATGACGGGGATGCGCTATAAAAATCGTATCTGTCCGCTTCATCTGCCCGCTGGCGCCAAAAATCCTTGGCGATCGAGTTACGTGATTGATGATGTATCGAGGACTTAGGTAAAGTCTTTTTTCTCCCCCAGAGAGAGAGAGAGAGAGAGAGAGAGAGAGAGGAAAACAACGAGGGTTCATTTATCCAATTAAATCACTGATTCTAACCTTCCGTTACTCCTATTGTGTAATTTGCATTACATAATCATTTGTCGTAGCGTTTGTCGTTCCTTACGACAATAACAAAATATACAAAAGTGGACGTGCATAAATTTTTCTAAATAAAATAGAACGCAATATGCAATTCGACATCCCGGCGGCGAACATTAATCACAGGCATCTAATGTACACTTCATCATTACGCGTAATTATATATACCTTGCCGCGCAATTAATAATACCCGCGCGAATTTATTGAATTATCACGCGAATAGTTGGGAAGTATACGCGCTCCGCATTTTGTGTATGCCCATATGTTTGCTCGGCGAATAAATCATGGAACACGTAAACTCCATCCAATTCCATTTCTAGCTCTTTTGTCACGTAGCCGCGATTTTTATTAAATCCCCGACGCGAGGAACCCACGCGCCACCGGCAATATTGTAATAGCGCGCGATCAGAGAAAACTACCGCAACGCTCGCGCTCGTTAACCAAATTCATTAATCGGCACCGAATCTCTTTTTTTTCCTCCCCTCGTATACGGGAAAAATTCACAATGCATCTGGCACCGGGCCTTCGTATATGCATATACCGTATATCGCCGCTTTTCTCTGTCGATTCATTCACGTTCCCCGTGGCGATGGATAAATTTATCATCGCGCGAGATTAACACACTTTCGAGATGCACATCACCGCGAAAATTGCGTTGCTGCGAGCGAAATGAAGACAGCTCTCGACACAGCGCGCGACGCGAGACAAACATTTCTCGTGATACGAAATAATATATTCAGAAGAGAGCGCGGGACTGAATTGTACAAGGGGAAGACCAGCGATTTTGCCTGCCCCGATATTTAAATGCGGTACTCATGCGGCGCTAGGCAAGCGGAATCCGAAATGGAATATTACACACGATGCATTCCAGTGGGATCGATAACATCAAATTTGAACAAGGGACAAAGGCCGAGAGGTCGGTAGACTGTTAAACCGCGTGTATCGCGACGATTACGATGCTCTCTGAGCAAGTCAAACGTCGGATACAGGCGTCAATGTTAAATACATATTCAATAATTACAAACCGTGTCACGAGAGAGAGAGAGAGAGAGAGGGGGGGGGGAGAGAGAGCATCAAAGAGATGCTGCTGATCGACGACGCTGTCGCGAATTAATCGCATCATTGAGCAAAGCCACTGTTGTACGGCAATTGATTTATCCATAAGATTACCCTTGCGAATTAAACAACCTTCCAACACAGATATTGAACTTCACGGTATTTTAATAAGATATAACTACAATTCTCTCTTTATTTCTCTCTTTATTCTCTCTTTATTCTCTCTTTTCAACGATTGCTCCTGCAAAAAATCTACACGGAGAGAATTTTTTTTTATTTATCCTGAAAAATCATGTTAATTGTGCAGGGACAATATAGTATTGAGACAAATTTTACTGTGCACTACAATAAGATTTTGCGGTAAAATTTATTGTAGTGCACAGTAAAATTTGCCTAAATACTATATTGTCCCACAATTAACATGATTTTCAGGGTAAACTAAAAAAAATTCTCTCCGTGTAGAAATATATTAATCTCAAATCTGCTTTTAAGTATTTTAAGAAGATACCAAAAAGCAAAATCTTAAGAAACAGCTCTCTATCGGTTAATTCGAAAATCAGCTATCTCCAAAAATTGCACCTTCGAGAAATATCTTCCTTGGAAGCTTCTAAAAGACTCGAAGAAAAAAATGTATATCAAAGTCTTCATCATCTAATATCAAATCGTAAAAGATATTCGGAACATTTCGAAAATATCGCCATGATATTTAATACATCTCCTTTTGACAGACTACTTAAATTTTAAACAGCGATCTATACCTTTGCTCGATTGCAAAAGTATCGAGAAATGTCGTAGTATTACATTAGGTAATATCGATGATAATCGAAAGGGGAATAAAGATTTGTGAAACAGTAAATTACGAAGGTCGGTACGGAGTTTGCGCTTTTTGCTCGACAGTACCGGACATCGGGCTTAACTAATGGAGGCAGTGAAGTATGGATAGTAAAGCGAAGTAACGATATATCTTCAGTATCGAAATATCCATCAGCGTCCCCCCGCCTCTCTCACTCTCTCTCTCTCGACATCGCGCAAGATTAAACGCGTCAAGCCGCACTCAACGTTTGCGCCAAGCTCTCATTCTTGACTCACATACGCGCGGCTAAACAGGCGTGTTTACAATGTCGGCAATTCGGACCCTCCAGTTTCTCCCCCTGAGATTGTGCCGTCAGGTATCCTGCACGCGATTGCGATGTCGCATAGCATGACTCACGAGCGCCGTATAATAAGCGGTGCATCACCGGCACCGCAGGACCCCACAGTATCCCGAATGCCAAGAATTCATCCTTGCGTTTAACCCTGAAAACTGGAAACTTCATCCTAATTTTGAACATACTAGGGGTGCAGTTTCTCCAAAATCTCGCAAACTCCTCCGAAAATCTTGCAAGGACCGAGCTTACCGGACGAAGCGTGATAAAATATTTAGAGTATTGCAAAAGATATATATACGTATAAAGATATATGTATATAAAGATAGAGAGAAAGAGAGAGAGAAAGAGAGAGAGAGAAGAAAGGAAGGAAAAAGAAGAGAATAGAAAAAATATATTATAAATCATAATCATTATTACGATTTATACAATATTAATATTTTATAATTAATTAATATCAGGGTAATGACATTATTTTGTT